GGGGGTCAGTGATGGAGAATCACTAAGAGGAGACACCCATGGTAGCATGACCAAATATCAAGGGAGGGGAATGACTTAGTAGCCACCCTAAAGACCCAGCTCCTTCTGCTGGCAGAATGACCAGTGGCTTTGAAGGGGTGGCCTGAGTCTAGGCTGAGTGAAGACTTCTAAGGGCTTTAAGCATTTCTGCCTTCCTGACCCGTTCTCAAAAATAATATTAAAAACTGCATTTCATTACTGTATTTATGAAAAGGATGTCTGGACTATAATTATTTTTTCTTCTGATTTTAACATGAATTTTTCCTAACAGTATCATTTTCCAAAGTCCATGTTCTTTACTTTGTCTGATGGATAAGGTGTCCCAACTCACAGAAAGTGTCATCAAGGCTGAGAACACACGACCTTGCCTCAAGTGTACCCCTCATTGACCACCACTGAGTAAGGCCCATGTTAATACAGACAGCATGACTAGGGGCCACAGGACCACTCCCCTCCACCCACCTGAACCTGGGCATCTCCTCAGGGCCAACCCCAACCCTGGCCTCAGACATACAACAAGGTGGATGAGATAAGGGAAACAAAGACTCCCAAACACTGGCTGGGAAATTCCAAAAATTCCAAACCCACAAGCATGTGGACTAGGCCTCCCTGTGTGACCCACAGTAACCTTCCTTCTCCTGGAGCTCTCTGAAGGTTCATGCATATGGACTGCATCTCACACACCCACTTATCACACTGAGTCCTGGGAAAGGACACGCACAATAGGTGCAGCTAACATGACTCGGATCCTGCCCAGGAAGACCCCAGTGGGAGGGGCCTTAAAGTAGGCAGAACACTTAAATCCCTGCACCCTCTGCCCTGCACACTCATGCCATTTTCCTTCTGCCAGAGCTATCCAGTGCACCAAGCACACCAGCACTTCAGCAGACTTTGCAGAGGTCTCCTTGCTGTCAGGTGCTGGGATGACCAACTCTTTACCACAGACGGGAACATTCAGGAACATTTAAGCTTCTCCCAAATTTTTACTGATCTGTGTCACTGAATGAAAAGATATCGGCTTCCTACATTTTCCTCATTATTGAAATTAATTTCTTCAAGATGTATTTATTTAATAAAATTATGTTTTAGAAGTGCTGGTTTCAGGGGCTTGTTATGTTACACTTACCAGAAAATAAGAAATTTGTTCATCATAGTATCAATATTAATTTTAATTTTTCTTTAAAATTTGACAGATAATGGATGTATTCTTTTTGTATTAATTTGATTTTCTTTCATTTCTACTGGCTCACATTTATGTTGCATCTTTGTTACACAAGTGAATTAATTCTTTGTAAATTTTCTTTCTTTTTCCCCCTTTGGTTTTTATGACAGGGTCTCACTATTCAACTCAAAAACTTAGAAATAGTAAGTGACACTGTCTTATTTATTTTCATCATTACTTTCTTTTAGCTACTTGATTGAAATTAATTTTATGAGAAAAGAAAGTTATACATTTTCCATTATACCTCTATTTACTAAGAGAGCATAGATTTTAATTACTCCAAAATCTTTTTAAAGACTGAATAAAAATGTGCAAATATGCAAAAAATGCTTACTTATGAACTGTGAAAATGTGTTTCTTTTCATTTTTATATTTGTTTTCTCCTAAGACTTTATATTATAAAATTACTGCTTTCAGGTCTGAGGATTTAGCTCAGTGGTTCTGCCATTTGCCTTGCAAGTATAAGGTCCCAAGTTTGATCCCCAGTACCAAAAAATATATATTTTGCTTTCATGGTCAAAAAATTAATTTTACATAAAATGATGCATAGAATTTCTTTTAACTCCCAGGTAAGCATGAGAGGCCCATGGCTAAAATGAGTGGGGTCTGAGCCTCCCGTTTTCTGTGGCAGCCATCAATATGTGGTAAGCCCTTTACTACAGCTACTTATGACATAAGAAAAATATAACTCCTGACCTACTAGATGCCAAATATGCCGAGCTCTTGGTCTCCACAGCATGGAGGAATGATGTCATGAAGTAGAGGAGGAAGTTAGAAGAGTTTTATTGGGAATAAGGAGAAGAATAGCTCCTGAATTTCCTGGAGGGGTCCCAAGTGGGTTGCTACTGAGGCCTTGTCAGGCATAATTTATATATCAAAGTCACAACAATGGGTGTGAAGTGGGTCCAACCTATAGGATTACAAGTATAGGCAGTCACTTAGCTAATGTTGATCCAATAGGAAAATGAGTCCCTTAGCAAGGGGACATGGAAAGAACAAAGCCATTCTGGGGATTGAGGGGAGCATGTGTCCAGATGCTCTGGTCACTCACCTATGCATCTGATGCCTGTGTGGACTTACTGAGCCAGGCAGTGCTAATTACAACATAATCTCAAGTTGCTGTTTATTTCTGGGAAGGTTTGCAGGCCTCCCTATTGTTTCTCTATCCTGAGGCCTGGTTCTCTTCAGATTCCCCCCCAGACACAATTCTGATGTCCTTATCTTTTCATGCTAACTTCCTTGGGAGCCCAGTCTCTCTGACAGTATATTAATTTCTATCTAACTTGGTTATCTATAATACTTACAATTACAGCCCTATCAAGGCACTCCACTCTTTTGAAACTCACTGAATTTAGTATTCATTTTCATGCAGAAATCTTGTTCCTGTAATCATCATTTGTCTGGTATTCAATCTGCAAGCTAGAACTTGCCAGTGTCAATAGCCTTGAGACTCCCTATCCTTTCCAGGCATAACAATGTGTTTGGTAGTGGTTATTTTGGTACTGATTGTGCTTCCTGGAACCAATTAATGAGGAATACCTTGCAAGGTACTATTGCAGTCTTAAGAATTCCCTACTCTAGGCTGGATATGATGGTGCACACACATAATCCCAACTGCAGCAGGAAGATCACAAGTTCAAGGCCAGTCTGGGAAATTTAGCAAGATTATATCTCAAAATCACATTAAAAGGGCTAGGTGTGTAGCTTAGTAATGGAGTGTTTGCCTTGCATACCCAAGATCACAGATACAGTCGGTAGCCCCACAAAACCAAAGCAACACAAACACAACGACACATCCTAGGTCACCACATCATTCCTTTCAGTCTTTCCCTAGGGATTATAAATTGGGGATAACAGGAGTGAGAGGTATCAGAAGTTCAATGTTATAGAGAAACAGGCTTTGTGAGACCAAAGAGACTCCATTTTGCTAAAATGCACCACTCCCCTAGTCTCTCACAAAGTAATGGTTAAAATGTGCATGCTCTGGGACAAAAGACACAATCTTTACCGAAGCAAAGTTCCTAAGTTAATTACTCAACCATCTGTTTGCCTAGGAAAAGAACGTTCTGGGCCCCCTATCCATAGAACAATCTGTAGATGTGCTGACTGGCAGTACGTAATGGTTGTGACTAATAGTCAGTGTGTCTGCTGACCATCAGTACGTGACAGTCGACCACCAACCTTTGTCCCCCATTTCCCTCCTAAAACCTACATGTAACCACCCCTCAACCCCTGATGAACCTAGCCAATCAGAAATGTACACTTCATGCTTGCTAAATGTTAACCAATCATGTAACTGCTAAGTGAAAAATCTCCAAACCTTGCTGTAATCTCTATAAAAACCCCTGGTGTTTTAGAGTCGGGGCTCTCAATTCTGATCCGCTGTGTCGGTGATGGTTGGGAGCCCCTGCTCGAGCTTGAATAAATGACCCTCATGTGTTTGCATTGGAATCGGCTCCTTGGTGGTCTTTGGGGACTTTGCGATCTGGGCACAACAGCTTCATCTCACTCTCCAACCCCTAGGCAGTGTGGGAGATGGAGCTCTTTGAGAATCACTGGGAGAGATGAGGTACTTGTGAAAGGATAAGTAAATATCTCATTTCCCAACTCAAAACCTGAACATCATGTGAAACCCTAAGGCTGTCTCCTCAGTAACACAAAATGTAGGGAAAACATATCTCTGCTGGAATGTGTTCTAGTAAATATTTCAGATTTCAGTTATTTTAATAGATGTACTGAGGTGTCTCATTGTCATACTTTGCAATTTCCACGTGGTCATTTTGTTAAGCAAATAGTTAGACATCAGCAGATCTGAGAGGCAAAAAGGGAGTCCAAAATAGCATGCATGGCCAGTTATAGCTAAGTAAAGAAAGACCTTAATGTATAATATATTAATGTGCACCCTAATCTCCTACCTCAAAAAGATTAAGGAAAGAGTCAGGACCTAGCTTCATGCTGACAATCTATTTAAATGCTTATTTGACATTGTATGTCTTCATTACTCAAGAATTTATTCAGATTGCTCACTTTAAAAAAGATCATATGGGTTTTTTGCATTCATTTTTTGTTTTTCACTGTTGAGTTTTTAAAGTTTCTTTATATTTTCGATACCAGTATTTGTCAGATAACGTGTTTTACAGTATTTTCTTGCAATATATCACTGGTATTTTCATTTTCTTAATGACAGTGCTAATGTTGCATGGCATTTTCTGAGTTTCCCACATCTATGGCTTTGTATTTATTACTAATTTCAAGAAATTTTCAGTTTATTTCTTCAAATGTTTCTTCTATTCTTTTCTTTCTTCTCATTCTAGTATTCTCCATTAACTGCATTTATACCATCTATGAGTACCTCAAGATTTTTATATATTCTGATCCTTTTTGTTTTTTAATTCTTCTTTCTCTTTGCATTTCTGTTTAAGAAGTTTCTGTTGACATTTCTTCAAGCTCTTGACATTTCAGTCACATCCAATCTATTGATGAGCATAAAAGGCATTTTATTCTCTTGTAATTTTTAAATTTCTACCATTTCCTTAGTTTTCATCTCTCTATTTACATAATGTATCTGTTCTTGTATATTGTCTACTTTCTCCATTATTCCTTAGCATATTAACCATAGTATTACCAGCCACTTAGGTTTATTCACTCACCACTGACCAAATCAAAGGAGGCCATATATTTTGATAAAAAGGAGAAATTTATTTTGAATCACCATCTCTCTGTATACAGATGTGTCTTTTAAAGAAAGGAACAGAGGTGAGGGGAGCACAGAGAGATAACAGCAGAACTTCACACTTGCTTTATCACTTTCAGTCATCTTTAGCTCATCCTCCTCTTTCTTGTGAAAAGGAAAATGGGCCCGGCCTCAGGGAGGGAGGGGGGGCAGCTGGTGGCATCTGCATATCCATCACTTCATCTGAGACCAGGAGGAAGAAGATATCCACTAGGTGCACAGCAAGAGGAAGTTTGAAGAAGTTGCTTATCTCTGAAAGAAAAAACCTAACCTTTAAAGTTCCATTTTGGAGTGCTGCTTACAATTCCCCCCTTGCTTTATTCCAGCTCTCAATCTGGAGGGCCTTGAGGTGCCACATCACCTGTCTGGCTGTCTCATGTTGGATTGGCATGCACAGGTGGCAGGAGCATAAACAAGGGAAAGCCAGATGCTGGAGCCTGAAAAAGTATCATGGAAAAATTGTGAGGTTAAATATAAAAGAAAGCCAAAGTCAAGAAATGTTTAATCACTACACCTGCTAGAAGATCCTTTTGCTTTTCAGCAATCATGCACAAGAACCCTATTTCATAACTTTTACCACTCTACTTACTTTGGTAGAGTTGACACAAAAGTTGCTCTTTCATGCTCACAACTTTCCCCCATATTGTGATGAATTTTCTTCACTTCTAAAAGCATTGACAACTAATCATCTGCAGCTTTGTCCCTTGGTGCCAGGGTAGCTTTCCCCAGTGATGGTCATTCCAAACATGGTCTAGATTGGAGGGGACAGGACAGAGAATTGGTCTCAGTGTCTTGCCAAATTTGAGATTTAGAAAGAATGGCTCTGAAATTTTAGTTACTTTGTAAGACCGGGGGCCTTACCAAACACTCCAAGGAGCTGACTGTAGTGCAGCACCCCAGGGATCCCAGCGGTGCCTCCAGAATGTAAGACCAAGAGCCTTACCAAATGCTCTGAGGAGCTGACTGCAGAGAAGAACACCCAGGAAGGAACACACCAGACAAGTTGGAAAGTAAAACAGACCTTTATTAGTCTGGCCAGATGACACTCCCAAAGCAAAACAGCTTAGAGAGGCAGCTGGCTCAGAGTCTGAGGCTGTTTTTATAGGGGGTTGAGGGGGAAGTTAACATATAGAATTAAAGAAAAAGGGACAAAGGTTAGTGGTCGACTGTCATGTATTGATGGTCAGCAGACATTTGCAGCTTGTTCTAAAAATTGTGGTGTCCGGAACATCAGTTCTGGGCAAACAAGGAGTTGAGTAGTTTTCTTTGGGACTTTAGGTCTGTTACAGATTTTTATCTAGTGTCCCCAAACTAACAAGCATCTTTATCCATTAACTCACATTTAATCACAATGGGGCTGGAGAAAAGGAACAGAGGTTATGCAGTCCCACAACGTTTTCACTGCTGAGACAAAATACTCAACACTCAAAGTTAAAGGAGGAAATTAGCCTCTCTGTGGGTCAGCCAAGCAGCATGAAACTCCTCAGCTGCATCCCAGTTCCTGGCCACACTACAGTGAGTTCACAGGAGTGGCTTGTAGCCCCGCCTCCATACAGTGCTCCTCTCCATGGGGCAGCCAAGCAGCATGAAGCTCCTTGACTTTGTCCCAGTTCCTTGCCATGCCATGGTGAGGTCCCAGGAGCAGCTTGGAGCCCTGCCTCCATCCAGCAATCTGCTTACCCTTGTGGGCACCTGCAAGCCCCAGTTCCACACTCTGCCCCTGCCTTCCAGGTATTCTGCTACCTGGTCCCACACTACAGAGGCACAGGGGATTATACTTCACATAGTTAAATGTGATAGATTAATAACTACCACAGATTGTCATTTTCAAAGCTGCACTTGATGCTATGGCATTGCTGATTGTATCATTTGGCCTAATATGTTGTGATTGATCTAATCAGTTTTTGTCCTGGTATAAGGAAAATAAAATAGCCTCAGAGTCATTAGAGCCTCAAAACCTAAACACAAGCCATATCTGGAAGAAACCTCTGAAAAGTAATCAATCCACAAGTGTTTTAAACACAAGCAACAAAGATACCTGCATTAAGCAATTTTGAAATATCAACCCAGGAATTAAACCAAGGACAGTACCAAAAACGAAAATGAGAAGACATTTAAGCAAGGCACAAATGCAGGCTTCCACACCACGAAAAGGAAATTCTGGGGGAAA